GCTATGACTATCCTGTTGTATCTCACTCTCATTCCAATGTAATGAATGCTCTCATGAAGAAGTGGGTTCCTGAACAATTTGTAAGGGCTGAGAGTTTTTGGCACAGGGCTTGTGTTTACTGTGCCTACCACAAAGAGGCCCTGGGCTCTATATGTTCTACCATATTACAAATAATAAGCAAGAATGGGTATTATGAAATAAATACTTATTAAACATGTACAATCACGTACTACAATGACTGAAATATTAGAAAAACAATTAACGGACCACTCTACATCTTCCTTGTATGCTATGAACCCAGCATATAATATTACTGTTTAGAAGCCTCCCTTGCCTGTTGCTTTTAAGACATATACTGACTTCAAAAATCAAAGGGGAAAAAAACATTAAAAAATAACAATGCTGTTATGCACACAATGATGGAATTATTATAATTTTGATCAGTCAAACTGTATGGGGAGGCTGGGCCTGACTACACTCTCTAAGTGGAAAGTTAATGAAAAGAGAATGTGTTTGGTGTTGAATTAGTCTACAGATTTGACAGTGTTCTGACAGTCAGCTATAAAAGAACTAGCATAATAAAAGACACACAAAAAGATATGGTATTTGACTACCAGCTATTCCATGTGAGCTGCTCGCAGATATTAAGCTGGTAGTGTGATACAAAATAAAGAGCCACTTTCCTTTTCCCAGTCAAGACAAACACTTTCAATCCATGATTAGTTTTGGAAAACAAGGGCAGCAAGGGTTAAAAGTAGGACACAATCATTGTTGTGAGGTTGATACGAAAGCCCAGAATTACTGTCGAAGACAAGCCTGCTGTCTTATGCCTTGCCTTTGCAGCTGAATGACGAAGCCCACAAAACTAATGACCAAGATGTTTGAACTGGGTCCCAAAAAAGAGTCAGGTCTTTAATGGGCTGGACGTGACATAACAGGACCAATGGCTTCACTCCGAGAGGAACTGTTACAAATATATAACCAAAAGTGAGATACAATCTCCTTTATTCCTGACAACCACCATCATTCTCTGCAGCTTCGCTTTTAATGGAATCTTGGCAAAACCCTTCTGTGCATATCCAGTTCTGAGTTTATGGAGGTTTGCATTCAAAAACAAAAGGAAAAAAGAAAAGGAAAAAACAAATATATAAGCAAACATATGTTAACCCTGCTCAATGAGAAATAAATGGCTTCTGACAATAGGTGATGGGATTGTCTAGATTTTTCATTTGTGAGGGAGGGTTTTAAACATCAGATAACAAATAATCAGTAAACAGAACCCAAAGATATTAATAAGATTAGAACATTCTTCTTACTTCCCTTCTCCTTGTCATGTACAATATTTAGATAAGGGAACCTTGTCCTTTATGCTACATAGTGAGACATCCTTTTAGAGTGTGCACAAATTTGTGCTTCTGGTATGGTAAACATTACGATAGAGATGCCCCTCCCAATATCTCTGAAGTGCAAGTTCTTTCTTGTACTGGCAAGTAACAATCATAGCAATTGCTGGAATACTTTGCATTGCTTTACAGGTTTTTGTTTTTGAGTGTCTTATCTGCACCATCTGACTGGAGCAGTTCCAGCTGATGCAGTTGATGTGGATCATGAGTTCATGTATAAAAATTTCAGTTTTGCTCAGAGGTGTCTTTCGGATGGACTATATGTACAGGAAAAACCAAGGATGGATGAAAAAAAAATTGACCAGCTCCCCAGTACTGGATTCAACTGCTAGAAAGTAAGATGACTGTGGCTTTGTTTAGAAGATATGGGCATATAAAAGCTTGGAATGCTTGATGAGGGTTTTTTTTAAATTTTTTAATCAATGTAGATGAAAGTAAACATTTATTAACATTTGGTCAAGTGTAGCATAACTTGCATTCGTATTTTCATTGTTAATAATGGAGGTATGTGGAGATATACAGAAACCTTGAGACAGTTGTTTTCTATTGCATACAGGCTAGCAGTCCATTTGAAACTGAGGATGAAAGCATGAAGGTTAGATCTGAGAGGGAGGCAGTTCTTCATGCACAGCTTTTGTCAATCTTGATTTTGGTTTTCAAAAATAAAAATCATGGGAAATCAAGACCATATGATGGTGGAGAAGGAAGGTGACATCAGCTAGGAAAACACCAGATGTGCCTAAATTCCCTCACTCAAGTCCAAACGTGCTAGTTTCTTCAACAGCTGTCAAGAGCTTTTCATACAGCATAGAGTAAGATGGGTAGGGTGGAAGATCCAAGCGGTTGAAACATGTGTGCGCCCTGCAAATGGAAAAATACAATGTGTAAGTTTAATTTAACAAATACACAGATGAGAGACTTGCTCTGATTGAAGTTGACTTACGTCCTTAGACAAGTAAAGAGGATAAACCTGAATATCAAAATAAAATGAAGTAAGATAGAATCAAATTGATAGACCCAGCATATTTCAAATGACATGTACACCAAACAGAAAATACATATACATAGATAAACCAAGCATTAACTTGGTTTCATCCTGTTTTATTTTATGGACCTAAATGGACTTCAACAAGCATAACTTAAGTGCCATTTTTGGCACTTAAACAGATCCTATTCTACACGTAATGTGGATATTAGGGCTGTACGAAATTTCAAAGTGTGTTTTGTTTCGAAGCTGTTTTGACGGGCTTCGAGCTCAAAACAGCAAAATTGAAACAAAACAAAAGGCTTTGAAACAGTTTTGAAACGAAACAAGGGCAGTCAAAATGTTTTGAAACATTTTGAGTTTCAAAGCAGCCCAGTGGCAGGATGCGGGGGACAGTCAGGGCTGTGCTCCACCACCTGCCGGCGGGCTGAGCTCTGTAGGGCCGGTGGAACCGCTCGGAGTGCAGCCCGGGCTCTCCCCTGCCTCCCGCCACTGGGCTGCGCTCTGAGCAGCTCCGCCAGCCCCATGGAGCTGAGCCTGGCAGTGGGAGCGGGGGGAGAGCCACTGGCCAGGGCTGCGCTCCGAGTGGCTCTGCCACTGGCTCTCCCGCCACCTCCTGCTGCCAGGCTGAGCTCCTTGCGGCTAGCAGAGCTGCTCAGAGTGCAGCCCAGCAGTGGGAGGCAGGGGAGAGCCAGGGCTGCACTCTGCCCCCCGCCACCAGCCTGAGCTCCATGGGGCTGGCAGAGCCGATCAGGCGGCAGTGGCAGCCTCCTGTCATCCTGAGGAGATTGGGGGGCCTGCACCCCCAGGAGGAGTCTGGTACAGCCCCACAGCCCTCCCGTGGCTGCAGGCCCCCAGATCTGCATGCGGGATGACAGGAAGCTGCTGCTGCTGCTGCCTGGGGCCAGCGGCAGCACCAGTCCTTCTGGTCCTGGGCATGGGCTGCACCCAGCACCGGTCCCAGGTGGCAGTGACAGCTTCCTGTCATCCCAAGCGCAGGTCTGGGGGCCCACACCCCGGGGAGGAGTCCAGCACAACCCCACAGCCCTACTGGGTATGCGGGCCCCCAGATCTCCACTCAGGATGACAGAAGGCTGCCACTGTCAGCAAGTCGCATAAGTTTTGCTTGTCAGCATCTTGAGGAGCTGTTTCTGAGAAATCCCTGCATCTATCTCCTTGAAATTTGGCAGGTGACATGAAAGCCCTCAGAAGGGGCTACCATCCCTGCAATTTTCATCCGAATCAGACAAGAAATGACAATGTTCTAGGCATTTTCATGATTCCCCATTATAGCCTATAGATGAAACGCCAAAACACATCGAAACAGCAAAACGGTTTTGACAAAATGAAATGGAACGGTGCTTCGAAATGAAATGATGGAACAAAACACTGTCTCTTCGAAACGGTGAAACCGAAGTTGAAACAAAATGGTGCTGTTTCGCACAGCCCTAGTAGATAGGCAAGTGTCCACACAGCTACTAAGCATGCTCAGTGGGCTATCCTCTGCGTGGGCAGGTACACAGTTCTGTATCCATGTGCCAGGGCAAGCATCCATTCTGAAACTGTAGCTGAGCAAAACCCCAGAATGTATAAGTGTTAGATGGAGGAAAAAGACTCTCCCATACTTTAACTACATAGCCCAGTGGTTATCTCACTCGCTTAGGGAGTGGGAGACACTGGTTCTAAGCCAACCTCATACACTGTGTTTTCAGGTTAAGATATTTATTGCTGTTATTGTTATAGTTATTATTGGTATTACAGTAGCACCTTTGTGTCCCACTCATGAACCTATTGTTTTAGGGCACTGTACAAATACAGCAAAATGATGGTCCCGGCTCCCAGTGTAAGCTGACTGAAAAAAAAAATTTTCAACAAAAGGTGATACAAAACTTAATGGGAAGTTTTTCCATTTTTCAGCCAGCTTGTGTATTAATGTAAATGAGCTGCTGGACATGGAGAAAGATTTTGGTTAGTTTTGCATCTCTGTTGTATTCCTTTTCCTTATTGTAACCTCTGTGGTTGAGAAACTTTAAGATGGCTGATACTTAAATGAGAGCAGGAGGAGGCCTCAAGACAGCAGGAGCCTAATCTTAAATGATCAAAAAAGCACTGTTCCAGTCAGTGCAGCATGAAAATACCATTTGTTTTTTTCCCCTTTTGAAACAAGCTGACCTTTCCAAATATCTCCAACAGCTTCAAACATAATGCAATTTAGCAATCAGTCATGCTGTGCTTAATACATCTCTGTAGGGATTGCACATATACGTTTTCTTCTTCCCCTCCCTACCCAAATCCCTAGGCACGCTGGGGTGCTCATCTCTAGCATTACATATACACTTAGGACAAAATCCTCAGCTGGTGTAAACCTGCAAAGCTTCACTGAAGCCAGCAGAGCTATAGTAATTCAAATATCTGAAGATCTAGTCTCTGATATATTTAGAAGCAATGGCCTTGTTTTGCTTCCAGCTCTCACATCTCATCCGTTAATTCATGTTATTTCCTATTAACTGAAGCAAAAGAGCCCTTCTTAAGGAAGACACTCTGCTGTTCATCTGTTAGTCCAACCAGGAAGTGAGAAAAACAGGCTGCAGGCAGATTAGTTGGCATGAGACTTACAGAGCTGAAGGGGAGATTTATCAAGCACCCATGGTGAATCATTAAAGGCAATCAAGCAACTGAAACAGCCAGATACATAGTTTCCATGTACTGCAACATTTCAATTAGGCGAGTTTTTACTGTTCTTTTTTTTCCCCCTATGAATGAAATATTGTAAACTGGCCATTCTCTGAGAGAGTGCACAATAAATATACTTTCCTTTGGAAACAAACTTGGAACATAAAGGAATTAGAGAAAAATTACAAGCACTGTTGTAATACATCTCATAAACTTGGGCATAGGGAGGTTATACACTGCAAATAAGTAGCCTTGCATTGTTATTTGTGTTTTTGTTTCAGCAACCTTTGGCAACGTAAGCTTCCCTACAATGACCTGCCAATGTGTCCCAATCCTCTTCAGAGGGAGCAAACCCTAGGAAAAAAAGGATAGTTTAGTCCTCTTGGTCTTTCCAGTTACTAGACCTTGCTAAAACTGCCAATAAAAATGCTGATTGCCCTGGTGTTTATTGTAATGTGTACAACTTAATGAAAATGATCAAACGCATCTCACACAGGTCATGGAACAAACTTCTAATGTTAATGACTTTTAGTCACCCTGGATACAGGCACAGATCAGCTCCTTTTCCTATAACCAATTCTCTGACATAAAGTTGCATCCAAGCTGAAACCATTATTAACCTTTTGAATTTCACAGGTAGGCTAGGGACATAAATTGCACATAAACTGGTATAAGTGATCAGAAACTGGTTCAAATCTATAATACAACAGAAGTTCAGTGCACATAAACCACTGTCAAAATGACCAAAACTGGTTTAAGATAAACCTGGATGGATGTAGTATCAGACTTAACTGATTTAGGTTAAATCAGTTTATTGAACTTCTGTCCCAGATCCCCTCCAGATTCAAGTTAACTCCCAGTCCCCCAGCATCCCAGGATGCTTTGCACCCAAATCCCCTCTCACAGAGTGAGCGGGCTAGCCATGACACAAACTGTCTGCTCCGGTTGAGCAGGGAGGTGTATTTTAGTGCCCCATAGCTTCTGGCCTGGGCTGCTGCAGGCATGTGGCTGCATTTCTGGAATCAAAACTGAACTTTTGTTCACTTGCTTATCAATTCAATCTATGCAGATTAGACTAACCTGCAAAGACTGAATCAATTCAGCCTCAGGCTTTTTGACTGGCTGTATTTAGCCATAAGGAGCAGTGAGAAGTCAAGAAGAGTTTTCTTTGTGCTATTCCTTCAATATTTGCTGGGAAAACAATGAATGAATATAATGTATGTCCATAGAGCAGTGGTCTCAACCTTTTTGGACTCAAGGCACCCCTCACTGGACTCAAGGTATGGAGAAGGGCATAGGAGATAACTGCTGAGTCACGCAGCCCTACTGGTGGGAGGGGGAGGGTGTTTAGAAACATTTAAATATTTATCAAGGCAAAACTTTTGTGGCATCTTGCCCAACAATATCTGGCATACAAAAAGATTCTCCTCCCCAAAAAAGGGCAAATCAAAAAGGGCAAATTAACTTTCAGGACATGCGCCATACAGGTTAGGTTTCGTTCATTACCAGAAATAAAGAAGAGGGGGCAAATTCTGTTCTGTCACATTAATGTAAATCTGGATTAACTCCAGTGAGGCAAATGGAGTCAGCCCAGTTTTAGATCACAGACATGAAGATCAGAAGTGTCATATCTTTTCTGTGATGTTCTGAGTCTTCTGTTCTATGTTGCAAGGACTAAAGTCAGGGAACAGGCTTAATGGCCCCGGTGGACCTTAAAGGTCCTCAGCGGGCATGTCTACATGTGCCTCTTTTAAGCGAGCGCAGCCTAAAATCACCATTTTAAGCCACATTAATGGCATGTGTTTACACGTGCACACCCTTAATGTACCCTAAAAATGGAGAGTTAAGGTTATGTGAGCCTTCATTTGATACTTGCATAAAGGAGGTATCAAATTTAGATGTGAATAGCTTAGTTGCATTAGCACACCTGTAGATGCACTAATGAGCATTAATGCAGTGTGCATCAACGGATAGATACTGCATTAATTGTATTAATGCATCTGCAGGTCTGCTAATGTGATTTAGCTATTTGTGCCTAAATTTAATGCGCATTAGCATGTCCACATGTAGAAGCGCACCTAAATTGCCATAATGCGACTTTAGCAAAGGCACGTTAAGTTTAGGTGCACATAAATACACGTGTAGACACACCCAATGCCTATTTACTTAATGGCTAAGTGAGAGGGCTGAATAGGAGAAAGAT